CAGCACTGGGTTGTATTTAACCCAGCATTTTTTAGAGTGTACCAGGAGAAGAGGGATCTCTCTCGCTCTCTCTCTTTCTGTATGCATATGTGTGTTTTCACATGCATATGTCTGTCATGATTTCCTACAGGTTCTGCGTGTGGTTTCGGCAGATGCAGTTCAGAGTATTACCTACTGATGGCAAAAGTCAAAATGCAATGAAAACAATTATTGTAAAAACTATTAAAAAAAAAAAGCCTGCTAGGCTACTTGAAATAACATATGATCTTATAACTATGTAAGTGTATTAAAAAAAAAAAGCCTGCTAGGCTACTTGAAATAACATATGATCTTATAACTATGTAAGTGTATTAAAAAAAAAAAGCCTGCTAGGCTACTTGAAATAACATATGATCTTATAACTATGTAAGTGTATTAAAAAAAAAAAAAAAAAATCATGACATGAATATAAATAAACGTTTAATAATTCATCATTTTCAAGTTTAAATAAATGCATTTTATTAAAAAAAAATATATATAAATTAGATTGAATTAAAAAGTAAAAAAACAAAACAAAACGTAATTTAATAATTTAGCATGAAAGCAATCACAGATCTTAATGCAAGTGGTGTTACTGCAACATAAAAAATGCCAAAAAAAAAAAAATATATATATAGAGAGAGAGAGCACAGCAGTCAATGATAAATTAATTATAATTTTTAATGATAATAATTTTTAATGGTAACAATTTTTGATAATTTTTTATGATAACTATTTAGTGGGACCTTCAAATAAATTAAGTTTGATTATATATATATATTTTTGGGCTGATTTTCTCTCTCTGTTTTTCTGTCTGTTCCATTAGATACGCAATAGTATTGCATACCATCAGTATGTGGATGCAGAAACTGGGAGTCCTGATCAAGAGCAGCATGTTCTCATTCAACGGGATCTAGACCAGAAAACTGGACTTCAGGACTGTAGGATTATCTGAGCATCACTAACAGTGACTGGACTCCTCGCTGCATATCTCAGATCATCTATTTTGGATTATTCTTCTGAGGAGGAGTTTATTTGGAGAGCATGATTACTTCCAGAACAGGAATACTAGAGACTAATCTAGTTTTTGTGGGCAAATTCAATTACAGCGGCGAATCCCTCATGTGAACAGAGCAGCGTCTAATTTGTTTTGCTGTAGGACGTGCATTGACTTCTGCAGTTTGTGTGATCTTTCTTCGGCAAAATCAAGAGTTCTGAATGTTCACAATGTGTTTTCATTAAGAACTTTCTCTTGGAACTTTATTCCCTCCATATATTGGGACGAAAGCCATTCTGTTTGCTGTTGGTGTGGAGTTGAATCAAATGGCTCGACCCGGCTCTGGAGTTCTGGTGTCGCTGGGAGGTGGATACTCGTCTCAGAGCATGGCTAAGGTGGTGGTTTGGGAATGGCTGAACGAACACGGCCGCTGGAGGTCGTACAGCGCCGCCGTTTGTCATCACATCGAAAACGTCCTGAAGGGAGATGCACGTGGCACTGTCATACTGGGGCAGGTGGATCCACAGCTCGCGCCCTACGTCATAGACCTGCAGTCCATGCATCAGTTCAGACAAGACACAGGTGAGTCACAGAGACATGTTTACTTATGTAATGTGGATTTGAATTGAATGTGAAACGGTGCATTCAAATCAGTTCGCAAATTTATGAGTTGAATGCACTTGAACGCCATTCAAGTCGTAATTACGATTCAGAAACTCTGAACTTTTGGTGCATTCAACTCAAGTTGGGAGTCAGGTGTGTTCAAGCAAAGACTTTAGATATATTAAGAATAAACCCCGCCTTCTAAATAAAGAACCAATCGCCAATAGACTGCATTAGCACCCGCCCACTTTTTCAGTGCTGCTGGTTCTGAAATTATTTTTCCCATTCATTTTTCCCATAGGGATTTTTAAAAAGTCTTCGTTAAATTGTTATACGCCATGAACCAAACCAACCAGCTATGAGGATAGTCACAACATCACAAACTTTGATTTGAAGCACAAAAGTATTTGAAAAGCAGAAAAAAAATACCAAGATACAAGACTGTGAATTTAACAACTTAAATGAGGGAAAGAACTACAGTGCCATGAAGCACTGCGAATGATATATGACGGAGAAATGTAAAACTATTAATTGAAAGTTTTTGGTTATATCTATAGATACAATGTATTTTAAGTTTATTGCAAAATATGTATATATATACAAATATTTTAGTATTTTGAGAGCGTAGGGAGATCAGCGCAATTATGTCATTTGCAGTGCATTCATGGGAGTGGGCGGAGCTTCAGATCTCTTATTGTGCTCGGTTGTGACTAGAAGGGATACAGCCATGGCCGGAAGTGACGCAATATAGATTTTGCAAGACTTGCGTCACTTCTGGCCGTAGCTGCATCCCTTCTAGCCGCAACAATAATTTTCAATGCTGCATGTACTATTGCATCCGCCATATTTTCTCACTGACACGCCCCCAACTGAATGCATTTTTTTCATTTACAATAAAACTAGCTAAGTTGCATATACAAAATATCATAGTACTATGCAATTACAATAAAATACTGTATATAATGATTCAATTTTACAGGACCTTCAGATATAGAATAAATGCACAAAAAAGCAAAAACACACATAGTGTGCATTCTTTATTCATCATTTTGTAGAAGTAGTCTACAAAAAATTAAGCAAGAAAATGGTACATTGCCATCTTGCTCCAATCAAAGTGACTCGCATCTGTTGTCATAATTACGACATCCCAACTCGTAAATACGAACTTCCCAGGAGGACTTGAGCGCACTAAATGTGTAGACTAGTTTCTAACCAGTTCCCACACATCAAAAGCACACCTTTCAAGGTTAAACGTTCAGCAGAAGTGCATCAGCAGAGAGACTGGATGGATCGTTTGAGGGAAGAACTCGTGTGATAGTGCATGAATGCATGCGTGTGTTTGCGGTATGTTGCATTTGAAGTCAGCTAGATGAACAAAGACAGCTTGAGGGTTTTTGGATTGTTTGGGAAAGCTGTGCAGTTCCTACCAAGAGCAGATACTCTCTGAAGACCGTCTCTCTCCCCGCACGCACACACACAGACACACATTCTAACCAGTTCCCACACATCAAAAGCACACCTTTCAAGGTTAAACGTTCAGCAGAAGTGCATCAGCAGAGAGACTGGATGGATCGTTAAATTAAATCAGGGTTAAATTAGGACACATGGGATGCTCTGTGGAAAACCGAGCTGTGTGTTAATTTGGTGCATGTTGGTGTTCATTACAGTACAGCTTTTGAGTGTGAAAATTTCCATTTCTATGGCAACAACATCACTAAAAAGTATTTCAAAATTCATGTTTTCCTTCAGAGTTTGGTCAGACAAACAGATGGTCCAGACCTCTAACTCGCATTGGTTGAGTAAATGTTCCTGTATCCTGTATCGACTAGATCAAAGAGAAAGTACTTTAAAGAAGGCACACATTAGCTTTGATGTCGCTGCCATGTGATCTGTATGCTGGTTGCTTCGAAACCGCAGTATTACACTGCAAAATAATTTTCTTGTTTTTCAGTAAAATATCTAAACATTCTTAAATTAAGATACTTGGGGATTAAGAAGCAAAAGACACATATGATTAGTATTTTTCTGAAGAAAAAAAAAGATCAAAATTAAGTGACTTTATGCTTTAAACAATAACAAATATCTGTCAGTGGGGTAAGAAAACTAAAACTTGTTTTCTCTTTGAATTAAGTTTATTTTTTCTGACCACAGTGGCTGATGTTTTTATTAAATTCATTTAGCTATTATTTTCCCCAAAAAAAAGGGGGAAAAAAAGACATTACCTTCTCGCATAAATGTTTCTTGATTTAAAAATGTTTAGATATTTGTACCAGTGTTATTTTAGTGTCATTGAGATATATTGTAGTTTTTGTTAATATTTTTAAATAAATTAGATTTTATTTATATATTTTCTGCTTTCATGTTGTGTGTTTTTGTTATTTGTTATGTTTCACTAGAGACCTTATTTATTGTGCTACAGAAATAGTGAAAAGTGATAGTAAATAGATAATCATGAATTTGTTATTTTTTGTTGTTTTTAAATATGTCTATGTATACCTTTTTATTCATTTTTATTTTAGTACATCAAATTAAACTAAATAAAAATGAGAAATGTTGCCTTGGGAAACTAGCTGAAATAAAATAAGTAAACATTTTTTATATATTTTATTTTATTTTAGTTAATATTTATTTTATTTAAAATAAAAAAAAGTATTGTTTTAGTTAACTAAAATAACCCTGATTTGTACAGTAAAACAAGACAAAAATACTGAGTAAGAAAAACATTTTTTTGCAGTGAAAACTTCTAAACTAGTTTATGATCTTGAATTTTAATGCAATATACTAATAGATTATTTCATTTGCATTTAAGCCTTTGGCAGGTGTACATTTTATCAATTCATTTAGCCAGCAAGACCTATTCAGACAGCTTCATTATGTTTGATGCAGAACAACAAAGTGACTGTACAAAGTAGCATAAACCAGCATAAACTACTACATTTTGTCAGTACTGAGTCATGAGTGAAATCAGGTCTCTTAGACTAGATGGGTTCGACTCAACTTTGATCAGAAATCTGATGTAAAATCATCAAAATGTAATAATGAAAAGACATTTCTCTGTATTGTCGTAGTTACAGCATGTTGCCTTTATAGGCCCAAATGTGTTTGTGTGTGTACAATTTTGGAGCACATGGGTAATATTCTGGATTGAATGTATGCATGCTTATTTTAGGTGTCCTGGTTCTTCCAGATGAAGCTCTCTTAATAGGCTGTAGAGTTCTGAGATCTATCTGTTTGTGTGTGTGTGTGTGTGTGTGTGTGTGTGTGTGTGATGCTGGTGTCCCTCCATTACTGCTTGGATATGTGTGATTTTCTTTGAGGTTTCCTCATGTGCAGTAAGTATGGGACTGAGTCTAATAAACAGCAGCTGTTGCTAAGGTCATACTGACTTCACTCAGCCCTGCAGAGAAAATTACAAGACCAGAACTCCTCGTTTCCTCAGCCTTATTTCATGTGGGATACAGTACATGTAGAAAAGAGTTTGATGAAAGTTCTGCTCGTCTCTACTGAGATGTTAGGGCATTGTGACTGGTTGCCAGGGCATTGCTATGTGGTTGTTAAGGACGTTTTTGTCATTTTTAATGCTGTTGTTTTGTTTTCCCAAAAAATTTTTTTAGCACGTTACTTTGTAGAACAGTATTTAGTGCATTCTGACTGGTTGTCAGGGTGTTGCTATGTAGTTGCAATAGTGCTGTGGAATGTTGCCAGGACATGTTTTTTTAAGCATGTTTTTATGCAGTTGCCAGGGTTTTCTAAATGTTTTTTTTAGCATGTTGTTGTGTAGTCACTAAGGGGTTCAGATTGGTTACCAGAGTGTCGCTATGCAGTTGCTGTGGTGCTGTGGATTGTTTCCAGGGTGTTGCTATGTTCGTTTCTTGCATGTTGCTATTTAGTAGCCAGGGTGTTCATATCGGTTGCCAGGGTGTTGCTATGCAGTTGCTGTGGTGCTGTGGATGGTTGCCAGGGCATTGCTATGTGGTTTCTAAGGTGTTTTAAGCATGTTTTTATGCAGTTGCTAGGGATTTCTCATTTTTAGCATGCTACTATGCAGTAGCAGGCTGTTCTTATTGTTTACAAGGGTGTTGCTATGGTGCTGTGGATTGTTGCTATGTGCTGTCTAAGGTGATTTTTATGCATTTGCTAAGGTTTTCTTTTCTTTATTTAACATTGCTGTGCAGTAGTTAGGTGGATCTGACTGGTTGTCAGGGTGTTGCTATGCAGTTGCTGTGGTGCTGTGTGTGTGGTTGCCAGGGCGTTGCTATGGTTGCAAATTTTTCTTTGATGTTTTTGCATGTTGCAATGTGGTTCCTAGGGTTTTGTTCAGCTGTTTTCTGGTCCAGCTGGTGGAAATGCTAAAGTAGCAGCACAGCTCTCATGATCTGAGCAATCATTCACGTCTGGAGCCGGATGATGATCACACTCAACTTTATTACTCACTGTTAGAGATTTCATCACATCTTTGATAAGGAATGACTGCTCTTTGTGTGTGTGTGTGTGTGTGTGTGTACCTGGTATTTATCACGTTATGGGGACCAAATGTCCCCACAAGGATAGTAATACTAGTAAATTTTGACCTGTGGGGACATTTTTGAGGTCCCCATGAGAAAACAAGCTTATAAATCATACAGAATTAGTTTTTTTGAGAAAGTAAAAATGCACAAAGTTTCCTGTAAGGGGTAGGTTTAGGGGTAGGGTTGGTGTAGGACAATAGCACATACAGTTTGTACAGTATAAAAACCATTACGCCTATGGAATGTCCCCATAAAACATGGAAACACAACATGAGTGTGTGTGTGTGTATGTGTGTGTGTGTGAGAGTGTGATGAACGGCAGTGTGAGATGTGATTGTGTGTGTTTGGATAGGGTTTAATCTCTGGCCAGACTGAATTGATCTGTTTGTCTCAGGAGAGAGCCTGTGGTTTTCTGCAGGATTGTAGACGTCTTCTCTTACACGTCTCACACAGATTTGAAAAGTGACACTG